ATGGGGCTCTGGTCAAAAGTAGTGCACTACATAGGAGATACAGTGCCATTTGGGACACACATTTATGTACTAAAAAGGGGAACTCCACCTGTCCTTTCTGTCATGCTGCTGGCCTCGATGACTGAGGAGGACAAACACAAGTGTGTGTGTCGTGTGTGTGCGCTTGCGTGCACGTGTGTGTGGCCTTACCTTTCTCGTAAGTGGCACTTCAATTGGCACGGGGACAAGTTCGGCCAATAGGCATCCGTAAAAGGCAACCATGAAGGCAGCCGGGTCATTGTTGGGAAAGACCAGAGCTACCTGTGGACAGATAAATCACATCAAAGTTAGACCAGGTGAAGTGGTCATTATATAACAGCAGTGGTATAAAGTACTTAAGTAAAAATACTTCAAATTACTACTTAAGTAGTTTTGTTTTGGTATCTGTACTTTTACTTCCCTACATTCCTAAGGAAAATAATGTACATTTTCCCTGACACCCAAAAGTACTTGTTACATTTTGAATGCTTAGCAGGACAGGAAAATGGTCCAATTCACACACTTATCAAGAGAACATCCCTGGTCATCCCTACTACCTGATCTGGCGGATTCACTAAACACAAATGCTTCGTTTGTAAATTATATCTGAGTGTTGGAGTGTGCCCCTGGCTATCCGAAAATAGAAGAAACTAGAAAATGGTGCCGTCTGGTTTGCTTAATATAAGGAATTTGAAATTATTTATACTTTTACTTTTGATACTTAAGTACATTTAATCAATTACATTTACTGTTGATACTTAAGTATATTTAACCTCTTAAGGATCGGACCCTTTGTTTCAATTTTCGCCTAAAATGACATACCCAAATCTAACTGCCTGTAGCTCATGGCCTGAAGCAAGGATATGCTTATTCTTGATACCATTTGAAAGGAAACACTTTGAAGTTTGTGGAAATGTGAAATTAATGTAGGAGAATATAACACATTATATCTGGTAAAAGATAATACAAACAAAAAAACATGTTTTCTATTTATTTTTTTGTTCCTTCATCTTTGAAATGCAAGAGAAAGGCCAAAATAATATAGTTTAGGCACAATTTACATTTTGGCCACTAGATGGCAGTAGTGTGTGTGCAAAGTTTCAGATTGATCCAGTGAAGCATTGCAATACTGGACTATTTTGTATCAAGTCTGCCCAAATGTGCCGAATTGGTCAATTGATACATTTTCAAGTACATAACTATAAAGAACATACAAAAATGATATGGTAATACAAAATGTACGTTTACACACTCCTCGGAATGTCATACATGATGGATCATTAGCTTACAGCAGGGGTTCAAATGCTACATTTTATCTCTGGGACCCTTAGGATGACAAATCAGAGCAAGATTACTGAATGTAAGTACATTATTTACCTTCAGATGTGAATATATCAAACCAGTTGCTGTGATACGTTTTTTGTTGTTGTGCACTCTCCTCAAACAATAGCATGGTATTTTTTCACTGTAATAGCTACTGTAAATTGTACAGTGCAGTTAGATTTACAAGAATTTAAGCTTTCTGCCCATATAAGACATGTCTATGTCCTGGAAAGTTTGCTGTTACTTACAACAGTCATGCTAATCACATTAGCACACGTTAGCTCAACCGTCCCGTAGAGGTTAAAACCAAATACTTTTAGACTTTTACTCAAGTAGAATTTTACTGGGTGACTTTCACTTTTTCTATAAACATATCTTTACTTTTACTCAAGTATGACAATTGGGTACTTTTTCCACCACTGTATAACAGTAATGGGCAATCACCCACTAAACCACCCGTCTACAATTGGTTAGGTTACCAATAGATATCCTCTATACGCATTCTGACTTTAAAGGAGGGAGGTTTGTGGAAAAAGTGGAAAAGGACCCATAAGCTAAAATCCTAAAATATGACAACATCCTAAAATATGAAAACAACATAAATGGAATGTTTTCTGACTTGAAATTTTTTTTAGTCAAGTGGAAACACTTAATACGGGCTGATAATCTAATGTCTGTAAATTTGTCCATATCAGTTCAAATGCAACAGAAAATCTGTATGTCTGAAATCTCATCGATCATTGTAAACTGAGGCGTCTTAGATCAGTGTTGTGATGACAACAAGCTCCCAAATACAGCACAAACTCCAAAATCTCATAAAATAAAAATGACAACATGCTAAGATATGAAAGCATGCTGTTAACGTTATCCCATGACCCCAGTGAGTCAGTCAGCCTGTTGAGGGAGTTTCTTTTCACCCACAGACAGATGATCGGTGATGTCTAAACCTGGTTCAAAAATAGGGCCTTTCTCCTCAACACTGGAGCCAGAAATTGAGTTTGGTTGCTTCCCAAAAGGCACCATATTCCCTATAAAGTCCACTACTTTTGAATAGAGCCCTATGGGCCTTGGTCAGAAGTAGTGCACTATAAATAGAATAGGGTGCCATATGGGAGTCAATCTTTGTCTACAAAGGGGCCGATTGAGCGTCAGCAGCGAGGCAGGCAGCCTTATCAGAACGTTGGGATGCAGACCTCTCACTGAGCACCTGGGCTCTCTCTCTCTAACTCTCTCTCACTTTCTCTCTCTCAATTCAAAGGGCTTTATTGGCATGGGAATCACATGTTTACATTGCCAAAGCAAGTGAAATAGATAATAAACAAAAGTGAAATAAATAAAAATTGAACAGTAAACATTACACTCCCTCCCCTCTCTCCCTCTCGCTCGCCCTCTGTCTGTCTTCCTCTCCCCTTCTCTCGCGCTCCCTCGCTCCCTCTCCCCTTCTCTCTCTCGCTCCCTCTCTCTCTCTCAGATAACAGCTGATGTTATCTCCTCCAGACGCTTTCATCTGCCTAATGCAGCTCTCTCAGCTACAGCAGGCCCCAACAGAGAGGAGCAGATCACACATCACACAAAATCACAATGCTTCTCAACACAAAAAAGGACAGCTTCCTAGATCTCGTGTGTGCTTAGTGCTTCAACTTGATCAATGGCGGAGTCCTTGTTATCTGGTGTTACTGCATGTTGGATCAGATGTGCACCAGGTTGCATGTCTGGCCTGGTGGTAGGACTGATAGCAGTGTGTGTGTGTGTGTGTGTGTGTGTGTGTGTGTGTGTGTGTGTGTGTGTGTGTGTGTGTGTGCGATAACAGTAAATGTAGTCCTAAGTGCTGTTAATGGTTCCCATGTTGGACAGAGAACCATACTGTAGCCCTGACTGAACAGCATCTGGGGGTGAAAGAGTGCACCTCCCTGGATGGAACACAGCACCTCATTACTGCATGTCTTCTACATTGGCTAAGTCTCAAAAGGTACCCTATTGATCTGAGCCCTATGGCCTTATGCGCAACAGTAGTGCACTATATAGGGAATAGGGTGCCATTTGAGACAGTCATTGACCAGGCCCGGTCATGTTCAAAAGGATAAGGTTACTATAGCTAGCTACAGCAGGTAACCTTACCTGTATTTAAGAGTGTTGTCGTGTGAGGAACAGTTGTTAAACAACTCCATGGTTTCCTTGAATGCCTTTTCCATACAGACTGTGTCATTACAAACACCTGTCATTTCTGGGTGCTGTAAAATCTTTTTTCAGAGCTTTCAATGTCACCCTGCAAAATGCTGTTTTCCTCCATTTCCATGCTGTTCCCATGTCAGCTGTGACACATCCCATTCTGCTAAACCTCCACGCAGCTCTGGTGGGACTTATTATAGGCTTCAATAAACTCTTTATGAAAAGTCTAGTCAATGCTACTTTGTAATTTACAGGGAGGGGGTGGGAGAATAAACTTTCTGTACAGTAATTAACCACTTCTCTAGTTAACAAGTAAACACTGGCATGACGCCAACTTGGTTGCGTCCCAAATAGCATCCTATTGCCTTTATAGTGCACTACTTTTGACCAGGGCCCATATGGCTCTGGACAAAAGTAGTGCATTATAAAATTAATAGGGTGCCATTTTGGACACAGACCGTGATATAAATGTCCTACCAAGCAAGCAGAGGGGAATAACCCTACTTAGATGAAAGGCACAAAGCAACATCCTCATAATAGGATGGATGCCAAGGAGACTTGGCTGGGTCTCAAATGGCACCCTATTTCCTATATAGTGCACTACTTTTGACAGATCTGGTCAAACGTAGTGCACTATGTAGGAAATAGGGTGCCATTTGGGACGAACACAATGACGAACACAGATTGGAACAATATGGAAAGTTTATAGTTCTTCATTACAATCCTCTACTCATAATTCAAAGCTGGCGACATGTTGTGTTAATGTATACCGTGAGTTGTAAATCATGGCAGTAGTAAAGATGGCAGTGGTAAAGATAAGAGTAGTAAAGATAAGAGTAGTAAAGATAAGAGTAGTAAAGATAAGAGTAGTAAAGATGGCAGTAGTAAAGATAACAATACTAAAGATAACAGCAGTAAAGATAAGAGTAGTAAAGATAACAGTGGTAAAGAAAACAGTAATAAAGATGGCATTAGTAAAGATAACAGTTGTAAAGATAAGAGTAGTAAAGATAACAGTAGTAAAGATTGTGAAGATCTAAAGGGAGAGTGTACAGTAACTCTCAGATACTGTACGTCATGTGGAATTACAGTCATGATAAACAGCATAACAGCGGCCAGAGAAGTACCACATCCCAAAAAGACTGTAGTAGTACACACCAGGCCATGTCCTGAGCCTGAACACAAAACATTAAGCTTGATGGCTGGTGCTTATATTGGTTCCTGGGGTGGACATGATGCTGCTTGCTGCTGGGTAAGATTCTCTCTGCACGCAGACAGAGGCTGGAGCTAAGGCACAGGCCTCCCTTCCTCCAACCCTCCTTCATTCCTTCGCTCCCTCCCTCCTCCCCCCTTCAACCATTCCCTCTCTCCCCTTGTTTCCACCCTCCCTCCCTTCACTCCGTCTCCCTCTCTAACCCTCCATCACGCCCACCCTCCTTCACCCATTTACTCCCTCCCTCCATCTCTCCCCCCTTCCCTCCCCACCCCATTCATCTCTCCCCACCTCCATCCATTCCTTCCTCTCTCCCTCCGTTATCGATTACCCCCCCCCCCCCCCACGTACTCACCCGGTCTCCAGGTCTGACCATAGGTTCCTGCTTGCTCCCCAGCTTGTGGAGGATGTTATAGGCCACCTTCATACTCCGCAACCAAAGTTTTCCTACATGGTTAAATCAAAATAAACACTGGTTATTGATCTGATTCAGAGGCTATGGACCAGGGCAAAGATGGCAGCATTATTGTTATAGACCCACTCCAAACAACCTCAAGAGGAAGAAGAGAGAGCACATGAAAGAACAGCATGTGAAATAATACAAAGTAGGCTGCTTGAATAGGTAATGATTGAAAAGCACAAAAAAGACAATCAAGTTTATGGGGATGTCTAGTTGTATTGGTTGGTAATAATAATCATGTTGCAGGTAACTTGAACCTCCCTTTTTGGATGGTGAACTAAACGTTATTTTGAGCCAAGTATTTAACATTTCTCAGAACTGACTAAAGCTTGAAGAAAAAGCATTTGTACTCATATCAGTGAGAAAGCAAACGACTTGCCGGCATTGTATTCATTAGAGCACAACGTAACAAAATGTTTTAAAATGTTATGCAATGGAAAACAAAAATGAGCATTTCTTATTGGACAAGTTCAGGTAGTTTCTCCCTGTTTCTTCCATTTGGTGCCTAATGAATACGACCCAGCTCTGATCTGCCTGGTTACGGTAACAATTCTCCAGATGCTGAGAGGAAGAGCGAGCTGAGGGTGTTCCTTGGAGGCCTCTGAGGTAACGTGGTGACAGTGTGTCTCTGTGTGACTGGTCCTGACTCTGTCTCAAATGGCACCCTATTCCCTTTATAGTGCACTACTTTTCCCCCAGAGCCCTAGGGTATAGGGTGCCATTTGAGACAGACTGACTTTCCTTTGAGGGCTGACTAACCGACTCAGTGGTGACATGGGGACTCAGTGACATCAGACCTGGCACCCTGAGAAGTGATGAGTCAGTCTTTGGCCGTGTCATACCTACACTGTGTTTACACCACACCCAACTCCTGGTTTGCCTGAACATTGGTAGGTTTGTGTGTGTGTGTGTGTGTGTGCGCGCGCACACGCGACTTTTCTTTCTGTCAGTTTGGCATTTCTTTCTCTCAGAGATCTCTAGGTGATCTCAGCTCTACAAGCTCAGTGGATTTCTACTAATTCAATCTACTGTGTGGATAGACATTTCTCAGCCCACATCTTGTGAAGGTGTAGAAAAATAAAACGTTTCAGATAGCTTTCCCTCTGGAATAAAAAAAAAACTGGATTATTACATAAACTACTTGGCTTGGGAGCTTGAGCTAAACTAATGAGGGCATACAGCATGATTTAGGCATAATCATCATTATCTTTATTAATGGACCATAGACAGTGAATAATGGAGAATATTACCTTCCTAGATACGGAGCGCTATGTTTCCATGATCACGTAAAGAAGCACCCCAGTCAACAGTAATTGTATATCTAAATTACATAGGGCCAAATGGCACCATATTCCCATACTTAGTACGCTACTTTTGACCAGGGCTATGGTCAAAGTAATGCACTATATAAGGAATTGGGTGCCATTTGGGATACAGTACTGGAGGGAAATGTTGTTCTATCATGCTGCTGTGATCTCTAGTCGGCCCATCGTTAAATTAAATGATCCTAATCTGCAATTATTTATTTTTCATTTATCTAAGGACGGCTTAAATGGATACCATTCTATCTACAATACATAGTACTCATTTGTAAAGGCGGATGGGATAGATATTGACTAAATTCCCAATATTTAACTGCAGTGCAGTGTGAGCATTTAACTAGCCAATTTCTGGATGATAAATTAATGTAATTAAAAAACAGTATTTTTTGGACCCAGAGACACTCATTAGGAGGAATTAATCCTATCTGTATTTCGATAAAGCTATCAAGTATGAGTTGACGCTGTAAGCAAAATGACCTTGTCTTTGTCATGAAGCATCACAGAGAAACCAGAGGAATTAACGAGCAGAGAGTAGACAGCAAGGGGAGAGAGAGAGAGAGTAGAGATAGCAGAGAGAGAGTAGAGTGTAGATAGATAGAGATAGAGAGCGAAAGAGAGAAAGGGGTATTCCAAAATGTTGTGTATTTACTAATAACATAAAGCTGGGAATTATTCTGGGTGAGGGAGAAACCGCAAATATTACTGCCAGATATGTATATGATTGCCATAGCCTGAGGGACATCAGATGACCATTAATTATCTGAAGTATTTACATTGTATATAACTTACAAGTAATACATAATGTAACCATCATCCATGTACATGTTGTTGACATTCTTTCTTTTTCTTTTTATAATCTGATTTTTATTGACCAAATACTACACACCAGCAGTAGTGTTGTATCTGTATACAGTGGGGAAAACAAGTATTTAGTCAGCCACCAATTGTGCAAGTTCTCCCACTTAAAAAGATGAGAGAGGCCTGTAATTTTCATCATAGGTACACGTCAACTATGACAGACAAAATGAGATTTTTTTTCTCCAGAAAATCACATTGTAGGATTTTTAATGAATTTATTTGCAAATTATGGTGGAAAATAAGTATTTGGTCAATAACAAAAGTTTCTCAATACTTTGTTATATACCCTTTGTTGGCAATGACATAGGTCAAACGTTTTCTGTAAGTCTTCACAAGGTTTTCACACACTGTTGCTGGTATTTTGGCCCATTCCTCCATGCAGATCTCCTCTAGAGCAGTGATGTTTTGGGGCTGTCGCTGGGCAACACAGACCAACTCCCTCCAAAGATTTTCTATGGGGTTGAGATCTGGAGACTGGCTAGGCCACTCCAGGACCTTGAAATGCTTCTTACGAAGCCACTCCTTCGTTGCCCGGGCGGTGTGTTTGGGATCATTGTCATGCTGAAAGACCCAGCCACATTTCATCTTCAATGCCCTTGCTGATGGAATGAGGTTTTCACTCAAAATCTCACGATACATGGCCCCATTCATTCTTTCCTTTACACGGATCAGTCGTCCTGGTCCCTTTGCAGAAAAACAGCCCCAAAGCATGATGTTTCCACCTCCATGCTTCACAGTAGGTATGGTGTTCTTTGGATGCAACTCAGCATTCTTTGTCCTCCAAACACGACGAGTTGAGTTTTTACGAAAAAGTTCTATTTTGGTTTCATCTGACCATATGACATTCTCCCAATCCTCTTCTGGATCATCCAAATGCACTCTAGCAAACTTCAGACGGGCCTGGACATGTACTGGCTTATGCAGGGGGACACGTCTGGCACTGCAGGATTTGAGTCCCTGGCGGCGTAGTGTGTTACTGATGGTAGGCTTTGTTACTTTGGTCCCAGCTCTCTGCAGGACATTCACTAGGTCCCCCCGTGTGGTTCTGGGATTTTTGCTCACCGTTCTTGTGATCATTTTGACCCCACGGGGTGAGATCTTGCGTGGAGCCCCAGATCGAGGGAGATTATCAGTGGTCTTGTATGTCTTCCATTTCCTAATAATTGCTCCCACAGTTGATTTCTTCAAACCAAGCTGCTTACCTATTGCAGATTCAGTCTTCCCAGCCTGGTGCTGGTCTACAATTTTGTTTCTGGTGTCCTTTGACAGCTCTTTGGTCTTGGCCATAGTGGAGTTTGGAGTGTGACTGTTTGAGGTTGTGGACAGGTGTCTTTTATACTGATAAAAAGTTCAAACAGGTGCAATTAATACAGGTAACGAGTGGAGGACAGAGGAGCCTCTTAAATAAGAAGTTACAGGTCTGTGAGAGCCAAAAATCTTGCTTGTTTGTAGGTGACCAAATACTTATTTTCCACCATAATTTGCAAATAAATTCATTAAAAATCCTACAATGTGACTTTCTGGATTTTTTTTCTCAATTTGTCTGTCATAGTTGACGTGTACCTATGATGAAAATTACAGGCCTCTCTCATCTTTTTAAGTGGGAGAACTTGCACAATTAGTGGCTGACTAAATACTTTTTTTCCCCACTGTACATGATTATACTGTATGTACTATTATTATTACTACTGAAATTAATTGTATTTCATTATCCTCATTGCATTTTACTGTATGTACTGAAATGCTGTACCACTATACTGCTTTCGCAATATCTACAAATTGTATTTCATGCCAATAAAGCAAACTGAATTTGAGTAGAGAGAGTGTGTGTGGAGAGAGAGAGAGAGAGTAGAAAGAGAAATGGGTAAAGTAAGAAGAGCACGAGAGAGAGTAGCGAGACTACAGAGAGATAGAGTTCAAAGAGAGCGAGAAAGAGAGAAAGAGTGAGAAAGAGAGAGAGAGACGACAGAGACGAAGATTCACTCGAAGTTAACTTCTGAGAGTCAGATTAAGATTCAGCACTGCACACTGAAGACAGAGAGTTGTTCACACAGCACAGGGCCCAGTAGCTCTCTCTCACCCGACCAACTGTCTCTTCCCTCCCAGAGAGCTGGACCTCGACGCTAGGCTCCTGACACAAGGTAGGCTGGCTGCAGACATTTCACAGTCTGGTGAGCACTGTCCAATCAGCCACCTCCCTTTATAAATCAATATGTTCACACCGACAGTGCAGACTGACAGACACTGCACTATTTCCATTGAGGCCTGGTTTGGGCTGCATGATGGTGCTAACTGACTGGGGTTTTATGCCTGCGTCCCAAATGGCACCCTATTTTCTATATACTGCACTACTTTTGACCAGAGCCCTATGGGCCTTGGTTAAAAGTATTGCACTATATAGGAAATAGGGTGCCATTTGGGATGGAGACTATGTTATTCCTGTGGGGGATGCTGCCTGTCTGCCAGTCATGTCTCCATGACTCAGTTAGCAGCGGTTGGGGAGCTGGGACATGGTGTCTACGGTTGCACCACAAATGGCACACTATCCCCTATAAATGGCACACTATTCCCTATGTAGTGCACTACTTTTGACCACGACCAAGAGATCTGGAATAGGGTGCCATTTGGGATGCATCCTACATGTAATTTCATTCTCACAGCTTCACAGGGGTCCCTCCCCAGAAGTTCTAAATTCATAAGCGCTAGTGTACTGAGGCAGAGCTTTTCTCTCCAAATAATTGTACACCCCTCGACCAAAGACCTGAATCTAAGTAAGCAGAGAGGAGTAGACTGAGTGTCTAGTGTCACAGTATTACACTGTAGGGCTGCAAACATATTGCATTACATTCCTCTATATAGTCACTGAGTGGATTTAACTTTTCATATTTTAAATGTAATACAATACACTTAACTTAAAGACCTCTAAGTGAGAGAAAGTATTATACCACTGAACTAAATAGCTATGGAAATTAGAAATGTGGTGGTCCTGTGTGGCTCAGTTGGTAGAGCATGGTGCTTGCAACGCCAGGGTTGTGGGTTGGATTCCCACGGGGGACCATTACAAAAAATGTATGCTCTGGATAACAGCGTCTGCTAAATGACTAAAATGTATATGTAAATGAAATGACTACAATAAATCGCTGCACCAGTGCTGTGCCACAGTACAGCACATTTAGTATTTTTCCACATAAAGTACTTTGCGTTCCTCATGTGGCTGTCATTAATATGCTTCAGCGGCAGGTAACAGTATTGTTTGGTACTTGTCTGTACTAATAAGGTTGGTAGGAAGACTAAGCATGAAGCAGCATTTCAAAACGAAACCCTCCCGAGTACTCCACTGCAGCACGCATGGCTTTGTATCCCAAATGACACCCTAATCCCTATTTAGTACACAACTATTGACCAGGGCACATAGGGCTCTTGTCAAAAGTAGTGTACAATATAGGGACTAGGGTGCCATTTGGAATGTACCCATGGAATCAATCACAGTTATGGAGCGTCTCTGAGTGGATCGTTAACATATCCAACAGTAAAAGTGTTGCTGCTTCACTCACAGAATAACTAAACAGTCCTGGATGGCTGGGTCATGGTATTATTATGGAAGGCAAAGCTATAGTTCAACATTATAGAAGAGAAGAGGACATTTTCATTACTGTTATAGAACACACTTTCATTGCTGTCTCTCTGGTGATTTGTCTTTAGTGTTTCAATAGCAATCATGTGCCGTACGAGCCAATCCTTTAGATGAGTGTAACGGGCTGTGTCCTTACTGTTAAGTTTGAATGATAGAATGACCCGAGAGTCAAACACTAACAATAACATCTCACGTGAATGACGCACTGTACGTACTGTGCGGACATAACACCTACCGTAGGTTAAAATGTACAGTGGTTTTCCGTTGGTGTCCATAGTGGTGAGGCATGGGGCTTTGGGAGAGATGGTGCCCCACCTCTGCAGGGCAGCCTCCAACGACGGGGGCCAGTTAGTGACCACCCCTAGCTGCTCCCCCCTCATCGCCAGCATCTGGGCCCCCTCCGCTTTGGGCTGGTTGGGGTCAGGCTGTTGTACTGGAGCATCACAGGAACAACGCAATGTTTTAGATTGTAACACAGCAAAGAGGTTTTCAATTAATAACTTTTTCTATAACCTGTAACAATATAATAATGTATTGCAACAGCAAATTCATTCAGAGTTTTTACACATTCAGAAATCAACCTTCAGAGGTCTTGGGTGCGTCCAAAATGACACCCTGTGCCCTATATAGTGCATTATCTTTGAACAGAGCCCTATGGGATGGATGCCCTCTTACCCTCTAGAAGTTCTTCGAAATCGTCAACAAAGAATTCTCTTAAGGGAGGCCGTTTGGGTCTCTTCAACGTGTTGACTAGCTGCTGGATTTTGGCTGACACTCGGCCACCTACTGGAACACCTGTAGGGGTTAACACACACACAGATCAATACACACACATAGAAACGTCTATACTTCATGGAAACTTCTATATCTAATTGGACTGGCAAGGCCACTTCTCCAAGTCTTCTGAGAGGAGACAGCCACACTTCACTGGGCAATATCCAAAGTGTCTTCTCTACTGTCTATTACCCCTGCTTAAGTTCCAATGACACTATCCCCCTGGCCATTTCTCTCCAATGACACGTCTTCCCACGGCACTAAACACGCCACAAAGACAGAGGGAGAGAAAAGTGGTACACACACACACACACACAAGCCTGTCCCTCAAATTTTAAAGTATAAACCAACTCTTATCCTATGAGGTCCAGAGCCTGCTGGTTTTCTGTTCTCCCCGAGCACGGTCACTGCGTGAACTTTGTTAGGCTATATATAACAAGTAAATAGCAAAAAAACTAAATACTAAACATTTTAAATCTCAAAACACAAGTTTGGCCTTGGTACTGAAGTTAAGGAGACAGGTGTAGTTCTTTCCAGAGCCTCCATGAGCGTAGTAACCCAGTAAACCCCATCTGTAAAGCTTGAAACTTGATCTATCAAGCAGACTCTCGACGACGTGTGCTCTGTGTGCTCAACAAATCTATTCCTCAGCACTATTGACTGGAGCATCTGATGAACAGATTTGTCTGCGCGATGCCGTATGCCTCAGGAGAACAAATTAAAATAGCAGAGAGGCCCACATTGGCATACTCCATCATCTGACTCGAGCTCATTCAGAACAAATGTCAGAATCCATTTTGGGTTTGCGTTTCAAGAGTCAGATGCATTCTATTCTACTTCCTCAAAGGATTTGAATAACCTCTGATGTGTCAAAGAAAGCTTCCAAAAGTGAGCCATCAAAGGTCATGTGCTCAAAGAGAGAAGTGTAAATCAATATATGTGAGCGATGCGTCTGTGTAAAAAGGGGAGTTTGAATTTCACTGCTCATATTTAAGTAATTTCTGGTGTCTGTTGCAGATCTAACTGAAAAGTTATGTGACGCCAAACTTAATAAATCAAATTAAAAGATGATGAAAATAGTTATTCTTGTGTCGTTCCATTCACAACCAAATTGAACCATAAAAGGCATATATCTGTAAAACATTATGTATCGGATCTTATTTTCTTTCATGCTGCTCCTAAAACAAACTGACATAATACCATGACACTAACATTTCAAAACAAAGAAGGGCTGTACACATGAAAAACACAAACATGACCCCAAAATACCCATCACTGTCAAGAAAGACACGCACCATGAACACAAATTTAGGTCACACACACTCGCACACACCGTTACGGTCACACACACCTTCATGGACACACACACTACCCCAACCCCTGTATGTACTCACCATCTCCGGTCTCCATGAGCTCTGCGTTGCCGTACTTGGGCGTGGCTCTGGATGCTGTGGTGGAGCCCTGCGGTCTCTCCACCTGTATGGAGTCTGTGGTGTAGCTGGTAACATCTGGAGGGGCAGAGTTCTTCTCTGGACGTGAGGAGAGGCAAGGTGAAGGAAGCCTGTTACTGTTAGTCCCCCCAGCCCTCAGCCCTATAGCTAAACAAGGGCCACAGGCTGCCATAGGCTGCCACAGCCAAGCCAGCACAACAGTGAGGGAAGGGTCGGGCTGCCTCTCAAACAGTACTCTATTCCTTATATAGTGCACTACTTTTGAACACGGCTCATACATACAATATCCGTATAGGCCCTGGTCAAAAGTAGTGCACTATATAGGGAATAGGGTTCCACTTGGGATGCAACCTACGACGGGAGGAGGCACGAGGGCAAGGGTCCAAGGACACACAGACAGACAGACGGCGGTGGGCCACAGGGGTTAGTCAGGTCACGAGGCGCATGCATCCAAACAGGTGTCCCCGGATGCAGAATAGACAGACATAGACAATGGTTAACTCCGTAAAAGTCAATCTGAGGAAGGAGAGTGATTGATATGCTGCTGTGCTGGGTTTCTCTTGGTCCTTCCATAGACCTCAGCCCTTATCAACTAATCTGTTTTAAAATCATAGAGAAAAGTGTTTAATGTCACCTCATTTGCATTCAAGGACCCCTCTAGCTAGTTTCCTTTGAACTCCCTCCGTTTGAAAACAGATTTGAGGTGTATGAAGACTAAAAAGTTAACACCCCGAAGTACATCCACTCCACAAGAGGGATGTAACTCTGCAACCACCCAAAAACTATTTTCATCTTTATGAAAATGTAATCTTAACTTTATCTAAGATGATAGATCTACTACCAAATCTTGGCTACCTAACATTGTGTAACATAGTTTTACCTAACATAGTGCTGCCTTTGAAATTCATTGCAGGTAGCCTAGCGGTTAAGATCGTTGAGCCAGTAACCGAAAGGCTGTTCTGCCCTTGAGCAAGGCAATTAACCCCCAACAACAACTGCTCCCCGGGAGCCGATGACGTGGACGTCGATCAAGGAAGCCCCCCGCACCGCTCTGATTCAGAGGGGTTGGGATAAATGCGGAAGACACATTTCAGTTGAATGCATTCAGTTGTACAACTGACTAGGTATCCCCTTTCCCTTTCCCAAGTTTTGGCAATGTTAAATTTGTGATCTAGGCCTATAGCTTCACATACATATCTGCTACATGTGTGAGGTTGAATGTGTGGGACCACACCGTAACATATAAAAAGATCTATGACAACCATGTCAAATAAACTAATGCTGTGAATTAAGTTGTCCAAGCTGACAGTCACATGTCCCCAGGCCACCAGCCGCTAAGTCAGGTTGTGATAAAAGGGGCAATATCGGATTAAAACAAAACAAAGCAGGCACCCACTACGTTTTTGGTAAACAGCTGAGAGATGGGGTAAAACAAGTTTATAGTTTGGGTTCCGAAGGGGTAAGCAAATTGAACAAAGCTTATGATCATTAAGGAATTTACAAGTTATATTCTTCAGTCCAAAAATATATGTACCAATCCAAGATTGCCCCTTTAAGTCCAGTACTGGAGCTGCAGGTTTTTTTTGTAATCATTACCGCCCCACTTCAATCCCCTGGTCATAACATAATTCCCCCAAATGCTTCAACATAACATAATTGATGCAACACTTCCGCCTCTCCCTCTCTCTGAGACATCCCATATGTGACATCTATCTTTCAATTCACTGTAAAAAAGTAATCATTTTTACTCTCTCTCTCCCACTCCTTGACATGTATCACTTCTCAGATGCCAGATGTTTTTGAAAGTCTAATCATGCCGTGAATTCACATTTTCTCTCTGTCATACCGCCTGGACAATGTCAAAAAGCATCAGCCGTGACTTTTTCCCTGCTAGATTTAGATTCTGATTGAAGTGGATTAGCGTGTAATATCATTCCAGACAGAGAAACCACAAGGAATTTTCCTCACTGTCTTTCCTTTACATTCCTAGTACTCCATCTCAATCTCTCAGCTTTCCACTGCAAGACACTAGCGCCCCAGTCAAGGACCATACATAAGCTAAATTGGATCAAACACCACTACTAGCCCGCCATAGCACCCATCTATAAGGGCTGGTAACCACAAGTATTTGAGAGCAATATCATTCATAGACTGTCATACTGTCTGCTATGAGTAATCTTCCTTTCAGTGATAATTCATCATGTTAGATGAAGATGAAGATGCCTAAGGCTGTGTCCCAAATAGCACTGAATTCCCTATTTAGTGCACTATTGAGCCCATAGGCCTATAGGATAAGAGCTTCCCAAAGCTGATTTTAGCTTTATTTATTTATGGACAAAGAATGTATCATCACCTTTCATCAATTCCCATATGGCTCTGATCAAAAGTAGTGCACTATATAGGGAATAGGATGCCATTTGGGACGCAGATATAACGCTCTCACCACCAGTGTCCGTGTGAGGTTAGATAAAGAGATAAATGAGAGAGAGGAAGTCCTCCAGTGCCCACTAGGTTAAACAAGACTCACATTGATAATGTTAGACCAAAGACAACATTACTGCCGCTCCCACTTAGCCTCTCCATTTCTCTCTCCTTCTCTTTCCGTCTCTCTTTCCCCCACTCACCCTCTCTCTTTACCAGTCTTTTACCCTCTACCCCCTCTTTCCCTCTCCCTCCCGCTCTCTGAATGCTGTCAGAATAAGCCAGAAGCTGTAGCTGCTTAAAAACCGGCCTCCCGAGTGGCGCAGCGGTCTAAGGCACTGTATCATCCGGGTTAGGGGAGGGTTTGGCCTGATTGTTTTCAGATCAGGCTGACCACTTCAGAGGGTGGTCAGGGACGCATTGCATGCAGATTTCTCCTCAGTCTAGACACAATCAGGCTACTGAAAGCGCACACAGTGGGCGAAGTCATCAGGACCGAGGCACCTTTTCATTATAACGTTGGAGGAAATACGTTCCTAGCGTGTGAGGAACGTGTTTGCTGTCCTCATAAATTCTAGCCAGCTAGCTAATATTTAGAAAAACTATTTTTTGTTTGGCTAGAGTTATACTAACCCATTTGCAATCCCTTTGGTGTTGCTTGCTACCTACAGAGGTTAGCTGGCTAGTTAGCTACTGCCATCAGTTGTTGTTGTGTTATCTTATTTAGCCTATTCCACTGTTTGCATACTGGCATTTGAATATAGCGCGGGAATAGGGAATCCGGACACACTGTGGGCACAGTAGACACATTTAAATGTAGGTGTATGACGCGTTCGGAATTCCATGATCAGAACTCTATGATCAGAATACTAAAGCTGCATGAACTGTCAAGTCTAGATACTGCCAGAATGCTTTCTCCAGACTCCCGAGTGGCGCAGTGGTCTAAGGCATTGCATCGCAGTGCCAGCTGTGCCACTAGAGATCCTGGTTCGAGTCTAGGCTCTGTCGCAGCCGGCCGTGACCGGGAGACCCATGGGCGGCGCACAATTGGTCCAGCGTCGTCCAAGGTAGGGGAGGGTTTGGACGGCAGGGATGTGGGTTTGTTTCCCACGGGGGGCCAGTATGAAAAAATAAATAAATAAATAAAATAAACATGTATGCATTCACTAACTGTAAGTCCCTCTGGATAAGAGCGTCTGCTAAATGACTAAACATGTTTAAAAAAAATATTGATATTGCAATTCCTACCAGCAGCACAAGTATGCTAATGATATACAGCTGAAGTCGGAAGTTTACGTACACCTTAGCCAAATACATTTAAACTCATATTTTTCACAATTCCTGACATTTAATCATAGTAAAAATTCCCTTTCTTAGGTCAGTTAGGATCACCATTCATTTTAAGAATGTGAAATGTCAGAATAATAGTAGAGAGAATGATTTATTTCAGCTTTTATTTATTTCATTACATTCCCAGTGGGTCAGAAGTTTACATACACTCAATTAGTATTTGGTAGCATTGCCTTTAAATTGTTTAACTTGGGTCAAACGTTTCGGGTAGCCTTCCACAAGCTTCCCACAATCGGCTGGGTGAATTTTGGCCCATTCCTCCTGACAGAGCTGGTGTAACTGAGTCAGGTTTGTAGGCCTCCTTGCTCGCACACGCTTTTTCAGTTCTGCCCACACATTTTCTATAGGATTGAGGTCAGGGCTTTGTGATGGCCATTCCAATACCTTGACTTTGTTGTCCTTAAGCCATTATGCCACAACTTTGGAAGTATGCTTGGGGTCATTGTCCATTTGGAAGACCCATTTGCGACCAAGCTTTAAGTTCCTGACTGATGTCTTGAGATGTTGCTTCAATATATCCACATAATTTTCCTTCCTCATGATACCATCTATTTTGTGAAGTGCACCAGTCCCTCCTGCAGCAAAGCACCCTCACAGCATGATGCTGCCACCCCCGTGCTTCACGGTTGGGATGGTATTCTTCGGATTGCAAGCCACCCCCTTTTTCCACCAAACAAAACGATGGTCATTATGGCCAAACAGTTCTATTTTTGTTTCATCATACCAGAGGACATTTCTCCAAAAAGTACGATCTTTGTCCCCATGTGCAGCTGCAAAACATAGTCTGGCTTTTTTATGGTGGTTTTGGAGCAGTGGCTTCATCCTTGCTGAGTGGCCTTTCAGGTTATGTCGATATAGGACTTGTTTTACTGTGGATATAGATATTTTTGTACCTGTTTCCTCCAGCATCTTCACAAGGTCCTTTGCTGTAGTTCTGGGATTGATTTGCACTTTTCGCACCAAAGTACGTTCATCTCTAGGAGACAGAATGCGTCTCCTTCCTGAGCGGTATGACGGCTGCGTGGTCCCATGGTGTTTATACAGTGAGGGAAAAAAGTATTTGATCCCCTGCTGATTTTGTACGTTTGACAAGTGACAAAGAAATGATTAGTCTATAATTGTAATGGTAGGTTTATTTGAACAGTGAGAGACAGAATAGCAACAAAAAAATCCAGAAAAACGCATGTCAAAATTGTTATAAATTGATTTGCATTTTAATGAGGGAAATAAGTATTTGACCCCCTCTCAATCAGGAAGATTTCTGGCTCCCAGGTGTCTTTTATACAGGTAACGATCTGAGATTAGGAGCACACTCTTAAAGGGAGTGCTCCTAATCTCAGCTTGTTACCTGTATAAAATACACCTGTCCACAGAAGCAATCAATCAATCAGATTCCAAACTCTCCACCATGGCCAAGACCAAAGAGCTCTCCAAGGATGTCAGGGACAAGATTGTAGACCTACACAAGGCTGGAATGGGCTACAAGACCATGGCCAAGCAGCTTGGTGAGAAGGTGACAACAGTTGGTGCAATTATTCGAAAATGGAAGAAACACAAAAGAACTGTCAATCTCCCTCGGCCTGGGGCTCCATGCAAGATCTCACCTCGTGGAGTTGCAATGATCATGAAAACGGTGAGGAATCAGCCCAGAACTACACGGGAGGATCTTGTCAATGATCTCAAGGCAGCTGGGACCATTGTCACCAAGAAAACAATTGGTAACACACTACGCCGTGAAGGACTGAAATCCCCCTGCTCAAGAAAGCACATATACATGCCCGTCTGAAGTTTGCCAATGAACATCTGAATGATTCAGAGGAGAACTGGGTGAAAGTGTTGTGGTCAGATGAGACCAAAATCGAGCTCTTTGGCATCAACTCAACTCGCCCTGTTTGGAGGAGGAGGAATGCTGCCTATGACCCCAAGAACACCATCCCCACCGTCAAACATGGAGGCGGAAACATTATGCTTTGGGGGTGTTTTTCTGCTAAGGGGACAGGACAACTTCACCGCATCGAAGGGACGATGGACGGGGCCATGTACCGTCAAATCTTGGGTGAGAACCTCCTTCCCTCAGCCAGGGCATTGAAAATGGGTCGTGGATGGGTATTCCAGCATGACAATGACCCAAAACACACGGCCAAGGCAACAAAGGAGTGGCTCAAGAAGAAGCACATTAAGGTCCTGGAGTGGCCTAGCCAGTCTCCAGACCTTAATCCCATAGAAAATCTGTGGAGGGAGCTGAAGGTTCGAGTTGCCAAACGTCAGCCTCGAATCCTTAATGACTTGGAGAAGATCTGCAAAGAGGAGTGGGACAAAATCCCTCCTGAGACGTGTGCAAACCTGGTGGCCAACTACAAGATACGTCTGACCTCTGTGATTGCCAACAAGGGGTTTTTCCACCAAGTACTAAGTCATGTTTTGCAGAGGGGTCAAATACTTATTTCCCTCATTAAAATGCAAATCAATAAATAACATTTTTGACATGTGTTTTTCTGGATTCTTTTGTTGTTATTCTGTCTCTCACTGTTCAAATAAACGTACCATTAAAATTATAGACTGATCATTTCTTTGTCAGTGGACAAATGTACAAAATCAACAGGGGATCAAATACTTTTTTCCCCCACTGTACTTGCGTACAATTGTTTGTACAGATGAACGTGGTACCTTCAGGCGTTTGGAAATTACTCCCAAGGATGAACCAGACTTGTGGAGGTCTACCATTTTTTTCTGAGGGCTTGGATGATTTCTTTTGATTTTCCCATGATGTCAAGCAAAGAGGCACTGAGTTTGAAGGTAGGCCTTGAAATACATCCAGAGGTACACCTCCAATTGACTCAAATGATGTCAATTAGCCTATCAGAAGCTTCTAAAGCCATGACATAATTTTCTTGAATTTTCCAAGCTGTTTAAAGGCACAGTCAACTTAGTGTATGTAAAGTTCAGACACACTGGAATTGTGATACAGTGAATTATAAGTGAAATAATCTGTCTGTAAACAATTACTTGTGTCATGCACAAAGTAGATGTCCTACCCGACTTGCCAAAACTATAGTTTGTTAACAAGAAATTTGTGGAGTGGATGAAAAACTTGTTTTAATGACTCCAACCTAAGCGTATGTAAACTTCCGACTTCAACTGTAGGAAGGGGTGCTCTTTGTACATAACATCTGTTTACCTGAGCCAGAGTGAATAGACAGACACACAGACACTGGCCAGCAGTACTAAGCAGGCCAGAATATCTGTTGGCGAGAGACTCAGTCCTTATGTCTATCAGTGAGAGACTAAGGTCTGTGTCCCAAATGGCACCCTTTCCACTACTTTTGACCAGCGCTATATAGTGGACTATATAGGGAATAGGGTGTCATTTGGGACTATACACAGTGTACAAAACATTAAGAACACCTTCCTAATATTGAGTTGTATCCTCCCCTCCTCCTTTATAGCTCAACACCTACAGAAATAATGAGCTATAGGGAATCCAGTGACAGCTAGACTACAGTACACTACGGCAGGTGGAGAAGGACACACTGAACTGCAATGGAATCCCTATGGGTCGTCACAAAGGCTGCAATCCAGGCTGACTACATTGCAGACGCATGCCATATCTCACAACGCATGGATAGGTGCATCGTCTGCAATGTAGAACTCAACCATAGACTGCAAAACGTCATTCCATTAGGAATGGGAACTGTTAGATTAATTTGTATTTTAAGAATAATGACTAAAGGATTTCACCCCAAATACAGTATAAATGTGTGAACGGTGTTAGAGTTATAATGTAGTGGCAACCCACTAACAGAGGGGGGCGGGACTAAACATTCCAGGGTGAAGGGGACTGAGAAAACGGGTTAAAAAAAGCCTCCTAAAGGTGGGCGGAGCAAAGTGCCTTTGTGTGTCAAGGGGTATAAAACAGGAGTGTATGGGTTTTGGCGCCAGAGCTCTCCATGAATAAAAATTCAGATCAATCTTGCTGGTTGTGGACCTTGAATCATTTATGATTAAAACCAGAGCCTTACAACCTCTGGTAATGATTCAAGCTTAGGTTGAATTAGAGATAGAAATTCTCATTGACAGGAACCCTTCCAGAATGATGTTAATGGTTCTGTGGTGTTCTCAAACATTGATTATTGGTTGATTATAGTCTGGACCAGGCCTTTGTTTTCCTGCTGGGGGATTCTAGAATACTTTTATTTTCTCAAGTTGTTAGATACAAACGGAGGGACAACTAATTTCACTAATTCACTCTCCCTGCCAAATAGTGACTGTTGGAATAACGGATGGGTTCAATCAAGGCATTCTTCAATGCTGGTTCAGTGGGTTCTTAAAGCATCGAGCAGAGTTTTGGCACTGAAAAGTACCTCTCAAAGGGCATTTGAAACAAACTACTTAAAACAATGTGGCACCTGCCTAAAGTTCAGATTCAAAGTGTATCCTCCCGACTACCCAATAAAAAAACTCAGAGATTGGGAGAGCAAGAAAGTGTCTAAAAGCAAACAGAGCATACATATTAAAACAAGCACCACCACACAACTGGAGCAACCATCCATCTGCTTTGTGTCAAAGACAAAAAGCATTCTTGAACACATGCCATCTCCTAACTTGCCCAGCAAATAATAATAATGTATTTCACAGCCATGAAAGCAAAAAAGAACGGGCACCAACACCACTTTCTAGACCTTACCGGTTTCCTGCAATATTTGTTGATTTTCCATCAACACCGTAGCTCTCATTCACAAAGGGTACTCCACACACTCAGCTTCATATGATCACAGTACTCATTAGCCAAAGCTATCCATGGGTTAGCATCACGTATCTTCTCCCAGCTTTTCACACAACTGTAGTTAGAGCAAGACACCACTTTGCCAATGAACACCACACTTGATCATCACAAAGCAAATGGGGGCGGGGCAGCGGCTAGAGCAGGGCAGGGAGGGGCTCACTGCCCCCCTGCACGGTCTGGGATAGTGGGATACTGACCCTGCTTCTCCAGGGGGGGCTGCTGCCAGACGAGCTCCGATCCACCTGATCCAAACTCACAGGACCGCCTCACCACAGGACCAGGACCTGAGTTCCCATTCTCTACTGTGACTGGGGCCGGCAGGCCCAGGAGAGCTGGGGCCTTCCTAGTGTTCCTCTTCAGAGAGAGGTGAGCAATGGGCCCTGCGTGTGAGGAGGAGGAGGAGGGGAAAACCAGAACCATAAATCCAGACTACGACAACCACACAGGGCCAAACCAAGTCACTACTGTAGCCAGATGGAGGGAAGACACTCTGCAGGGTCTCTCTGCAAGTGGCATCAGCCATATGGAGGGAAAATATCATCTGCTTTTCAAATGGCACCCTATTGCCTTTATAGTGCACTACTTTTGACTGGCTCTGGTCAAAATTAGTGAACTATATATGAAATAGGGTGCAATAATTTGAGACTCACCCATAGATGAGGGTGGGGGCAAGGGGCATGGAGAAAAGCAACTTATCTACACGGGCAGGCAGAACCACACTGATGGGAAGGGAGGGAGGGAGAGGGGGATGAAGGGAAGCCTTTTAAAAGCCAACACACACACACGGGAACTGGTTTGTTTTGGCCTCAAATTGGAGCCAAGAGGAAAACAGATCCGTAACCTTCACACACAGAGGAAAGGATATCCTCCTCTGAAATACACACCTAGCAGAGAGAGAGTACTAGACTAGAAAATACTCCAGCCAGTCAGTCTGTGAGTATCTGTGAGATACACACACACAAACATCATGCTATGTTGTGACAACAAAAAGCTATTTGATTGTCATGGAAACACCTCTGAAAACCAAGTATTTAGAGAGTTACTCATAATGTGTTTGAGAAATCTAATACACAACTATACAGTTTAATTGAATTAAATGTAACTGTCAGAACAAATGGATGCTGACAATGTTTGAATTGATGGATTGTCAAAATAATCTAGTGATTGATTGACTAACTCTTAACTGTCTTACTGACAGGCTGTCATAGTACACATCAGGAATGTAAGTGGTGTGCCATTACATGTCACCTACACTCAGGGGCACAACTTTTGTTTTAGAAGTGGGGGGGGGGACAAAACTGCAATTTCAGAATGAAAGTGAAAGTTGAGCCCATGCCTATACTTAATAACTTTGATACATGATATCACATTTCCTAGTTCAGTGAAAGTCTACATCTACCACGGCACAAGTCCCCAGTTCTTCCAGTGCGGCTTCAAAGTGCCTCCATTTAAGAGTATGGTTAAAGGTAGCAGAAGGACGGACTGGCACAAACAGCATTAGATAAACATCACATCTCAGTGTTCAAAATGTCTCTTCACTGAGTAGAAGAAGCCAATCAGCAGTTGGTTACTAGCAGTGTCTGCGACCCAACTGTCACTGCACCCTTCCCCAACATTATACACTACTTCACAGACCGTCTACTAGCTGTGTCTACCTGGCGAGAGGCTCCGTGTGGGGTCTGTTCTGTGCTTTGTCTCTGATAGCCTTCAAACTTGTGTCAGCAGCATGAAAACAGACCAGCCACTAGAACAGTTTACACAGACAACAGTGGAGAATAGCACTTCATAGTTTATAGCTCTTCTATCTGTTCTGCCATGAGTATGGTTGTTTTGTTATTTTGTCCTTCAATTGACATGCATTATGCAGTGACTACAACTAAGGGGTTAACTAGGTCTATGGTACAGAAGATAAGAAACCAAAGTGAGAGCTTCTCTTCGGGGGGTGGGGGGTGCATGCAAGTAAAAAGAAAGGAAATATTTCCACACTGGAAGCATTGCAGGCTAGTGTTCTGTTTGGTGTTTGGGCTGCATGCCTTAGGGGCTGGAACATTAAAGGGAGGTACAGGATAGGTGAGGGGTGACGTCAGCAGCACACACACATAAATACACACACCTGAGTGTACACGCACACAAACACGTGCACACATACAAAAAGAGAAAGCCAACAACAGAGATGCAGTGCCTTCAGATAAGTATTCACACCCCTTGACCTTTTCCACATTTTGTTGTGTTACAGCCTGAATTTATATTTATTAAATTGAGATTTTTTATCACTGGCCTACACACAATACCCCATAATGTCAAAATGGAATTATGTTTTTAGAAATGTTTACAAATTAATTACAAATGAAAAGCTGAAATGTCTTGAGTCAATAAGTATTCAACCCCTTTGTTACGACGAAAAAAAATGCTTAACAAGTCACATAAGTTGCATGGACACACTGTGTGCAATAATAGTGTTTAACATGATTTTTGAATGACTACCTCGTCTCTGTACACCACACATACAATTATCTGTAAGGTCCCTCAATCGAGCAGTACATTTCAAACACAGATTCAACCACAAAGACCAGGGAGGTTTTCCAATGCCTCGCAAAGAAGGGCACCTATTGGTAGGTGTAAACATTTAAAAAGCAGACATTTGAATATCCCTTTGAGCATGGTGAAGTTATTAATTACACTTTGGAGGGTATATTAATACACCCAGTCACTACAAAGATACAGATGTCCTTCCTAACTCAGTTGCCGGAGAGGAAGAAAACTGCTCAGGGATTTCACCATGAGGCCAATGGTGACTTTACAACAGTTACAGAGTTTAATGGCTGTGATAGGAGATAACTGAGGATGGATCAACAACATTGTAGTTACTTCACAATACTAACCTAAATGACAGTGAAAAGAATGAAGCCTGTACAGAATAAAACTATTCCAAAACATGCATCCTGTTTGCAATAAAGCACTAAAGTAAAACTGCAAAGAATATGGCAAATAAATGAACTTTATGTCCAGAATATAAAGTGTTATTGTTTGGGACAAATCCAACACAATACATCACTGTGTACCACTCATCCTATTTTCAAGCATGGTGGTGGCTGCATCATTTTATGGGTATGCGTGTCATCGGCAAGGACTATGGAGTTTTTTTGGATGAAAAGAAACAGAATAGAGCTAAGCAGAGGCAATATCCTAGAGGAAAGCCTGGTACAGTCAACTGACACTGGGAGACAAATTCACCATTCAGCAGGACAATACCTTAAAATACAAGGCTAAATCTATACTGGAGTAGCTTACCAAGACAACATTGAATGTTCCTATGTGGCCTAGTTACAGTTTTGATTAAATCGGCTTGAAAATCTATGGTAAGACTTGAAAATGGCTGTCTAGCAATGATTAACAACCAACTTGACAGCACTTGAAGAATTTTTAAAGAATAATGTGCAAATATTGTACAATCCAAGTGTGAAAAGCTCTTAGAGACTTACCCAGAAAGACTCACAGCTGTAATCGCTGCCAAAGGTGATTCTAACATGTATTGACTCAGGAGTGTGAATACTTATGTAAATGGGATATTTCTGTATTTCATTTTCAATAAATTTGCAAACATGTTTTCACTTTGTCATTATGGGTTATTGTGTGTAGATGGGTGAGAAAATAAATACATTTGATCCATTTTGAATTCAAGTTGTAACAACAAAATGAGGAATAAGTCAAGGGGTATGAATACTTTCTGCAGGCACCGTAGGTAAGACAAACACCCACTAACACACAGAGGTAGATATAAGTAAGGTTATAGTTGAAGGGTGGGTTTGTTTACCTGACTTACCGAGGTGTGTCTGACCCATGACGTCTGCTAGCCGGCTGGCCGCCCCGCTCCCTCCACTCTGCGTGGAGGAGGAGGAGGTGGTGGAGGAGGTGGTGGAGCCGTGGATGGCCCGGCTGATCCAGTTCTCCATGTTGATGCTGCCCTGGCTGGAGGTGGGCGTGCCCTCACCCTGCATGGAGCCCTCACCCTCCGAGCCTGACGACGTGTCTGGAGAGAGGGGAGAGAGGAGCAGAGAGGAAGAGGGGGTTTACGACAGCAGGGAAACACACACAAATGAACACACATACATACATATGCACACACACACACCTGCATGTCACTGTCGGACATTTGCACAACAAATAGAGACTAAACTCCGTCATGGCCCTGAGGGGATGTCCCCTCCCCCCTAACATACCCACTCCACACCTGATTCAGAGGGGTTGGGTTAAATGCGGAAGACACATTTCGGTTGAATGCATTCAGTTGTGTAACTGTCTAGCTATCCTCTTTCCCTTCCCCCTCCTCCCCACCTATATGCTACAGGTGTGTCCACAGAAGGCATGCCAATCAGAGAGTTGACAGACACCTGATCCTGACAATGAGGGGGAGAATTGCTTCCTTCCACAGTATCAGAATCAGACTGTAGGAGCACTACAGCCCCCACAGTCCCCACCGCCCCCACAGCCCCCACAGCCCCTACAGTCCCCACAGTCCCCACAGCCCCTACAGTCCCCACAGCCCCCACAGCCCCCACCACCCCCACAGTCCCCACAGCCCCTACAGCCCCCACCACCCCCACAGTCCCCACAGCCCCTACAGCCCCCACCGCCCCTACAGTTCCCACAGCCCCTACAGCCCCCACAGTCCCCACCGCCCCTACAGTCCCCACAGCCCCTACCGCCCCTACAGCCCCCACAGTCCCCACCGCCCCCACAGCCCCTACAGCCCCCACCGCCCCTACAGTTCCCACAGCCCCCACAGCCCCCACAGCCCCTACAGCCCCCACAGTCCCCACAGCCCCTACAGCCCCCACAGTCCCCACAGTCCCCACCGCCCCTACAGTCCCCACAGCCCCTACAGTCCCCACAGCCCCTACAGTCCCCACAGCCCCTACAGTCCCCACAGCCCCTACAGCCCCCACAGTCCCCACCGCCCCTACAGTCCCCACAGCCCCTACCGCCCCCACAGCCCCTACAGCATTACAGTCCCCACAGTCCCTACCTCCCCCACAGCCCCTACCGCCCCCACAGTCCTCACCGACCCTACAGTTCCCACAGCCCCTACAGCCCCCACAGCCCCTACAGCACTACAGCCCCCACAGCCCCTACAGCACTACAGTCCCCACAGCCCCTACCGCCCCCACAGTCCCCACCGCCCCTACAGCCCCCACCGACCCTACAGCCCCCACCGACCCTACAGCCCCCACCGCTCCTACAGTCCCCACAGTCCCTACAGTCCCCTACAGAACCCAATAGAACCCTACAGTCCCAGACCGAACCCAACAGCACCCTACAGAACCCAACAGTCCCCTACAAAACCCTACAGTCCCCAACAGAACCTTACAGCACCCAACAGTCCCCTACAGAACCCTACAGCACCCAACAGAACCCTACAG